AAAATGTCCACATATGTTCAAATGTGGAAAAATGTCTGCATATGTTGAAATATGGGAAATTGTCTACATATGTTCAAATGTGAGAAATTGTCCACATATGTTCAAATGTGGAAAAATGTCTATATATGTTCAGATATGGAAAAATGTTCACATATGTTCAAATGTGGAAAAATGTCTATATATGTTCAGATATGGAAAAATGTTCACATATGTTCAAATGTGGAAAAATGTCTATATATGTTCAGATATGGAAAAATGTTCACATATGTTCAAATGTGGAAAAATGTCCACATATGTTCAAATATGCAAAAATGTCCACATATGTTCAAATGTGGAAAAATGTCCATATATGCTCAGATATGGGAAAATGTCCACATATGTTCAAATGTGGAAAAATGTCTGCATATGTTGAAATATGGGAAATTGTCTACATATGTTCAAATGTGAAAAAATGTCCACATATGTTCAAATGTGGAAAAATGTCCACGTATGTTGAAATATGGGAAATTGTCCACATATGTTCAAATGTGCAAAAATGTCCACATATGTTTAAATATGGAAAAATGTCCACATATGTTCAAATATGCAAAAATGTCCACATATGTTCAAATGTGGAAAAATGTCCACATATGTTCAAATATTGGAAAATGTCCATATATATTCAAATGTGGGAAAATGTTCACATATGTGATCTTTAATGGATTTTAAAAACAAACTACATACATATACGTATGTAAAAATCCTTGAAGAGTTCACAGAATTATTTTTTATTTTTACAAACTTTATTATACTAAAGTTAGTCATACTAGTCCATTCAAAAAACAGTATAATGTATAAACAATATCTAATTTCATCTCACAATGTTATATTTTATTTCATCAAAAAAAGCGACGTATAAAAAAATTTTTAACCAACATTTATTGATAAATTTGATCATTTTTCACTATAAAAAGAATAGTATCGATCTCCTTAGAGGTGGCTAATTTTTTTGGCTCCTTTTCTCTATGTACAACCCCTCCCTAGTAGTAGATAGTTGACTAGGCAATTGTGTTGTTCTCCACAGCCCAAGAAGTCCGAGAAGGCAGAGTGGCAGACGAAGAAGTAGATTTAAAAAAAAAGAAAACAGAAAACCTTAAAGCATACATAAATTTACGAGAAAATAAAACCAAAGCAACTCACGCGTACACAGGCAAAAAGATAATAATCATACCAACCAACTTCGATACGTTACACACGTTATAATTATTTATAATAATGTACACTGTTCCGGGCGCAAACAGTTGATAAAAGTTGAATTTATTTATCTCTTTCAGTTATGTTTATTTCGCGCGACATTTTTCCTCGTGTTTTCGATTCGTTCTACTTTTTTTAGTTCTCTCGTGAATCGTTCATCTCACGATTACGGAGGAAAATGTTAAATACGTGGATACGTATGTCGATTAATTGTATCGAGTATTAGGTTGAAAGTGAAATTTTTATTTTCGACTCGATTGAGTTCTCGCGAGTCCTACGACAGGGGAATACGAAAGCTGTATCAATAAACGATGAACAAAACATGTGCATGAGGAGGCGAATCACTTTTCTTGGTCATCATTTCGTTTTCTTCTTCACTTCATTTCATTCGTTTCTTTAATTATGTTCGTCGCGATGTACATTTGGGGGCATGGTAGACTTCTCTGGGGGAAAATGGTGATTTGGGGTGAACAGTGAACTTTGATAGATTTTCAGATTGTTAAAGTTTGGGAAATTAGAGAATTGGAGAATTTAGGAATTTTAAGAAGTTTAGGAAATTTGTTAAATTAGGGAAATTGGGGAAATTAGAGCAATTAGGGAAATTAAGGAAATGGGAGAAATTAGAGAAATTTTAGGGAAATTAAGGAATTTAGAGAAATTAGGGATATTAGAGAAATTAGAGAAAATGGAGAAATCAGAGAAATTAGGGAAATTAGGGAAATTAGGGAAATTAGGGGAACTAGAGAAATTAGAGAAATTGGAGAAATTAGACAAATTAGGGAAATTAGGGATATTTGAGATATTAGAGAAAATTAAGAATTTGGGGACATTGGGAAAATTAGAGAAATTAGGAAAATTAGTAAATTTAGGGAAATTAAGCAAAATTGGGAGGATAAGAATAATTAGAGGAATTTGGAAAATTTAGGAAATTAGGAAAATTATGGGAATTTGGATAATTTGGGGAAGTTGAGAGAATTTTGGTGATTTAGGGATTGGGATATGGAGAGTTTATGATGTGGGAAATTTAGGAATTTAGGAATTTGATAACATGGAGACTTGATAACTTGAATCGTTGAAAATCTAGGAATTCGAGAATTTAGAATTTGCAATTTGAGAATTCTAATATTTAGGAATTTGGAGATTTGAGAATTGGGAAACTTAGGAATTGGGAAACTTGGGAACAGTGAAATGTAGAAATTAGGAAATATGGAAATTGGGAAATGTGGAAATTGGGAAATGTGGAAATTGGGAAATGTGGAAATTGGGAAATGGGGAAATGGGGAAATTGGGAAATATGGAAATTGAGAAACATGGAAATGTGGAAATGTGGAAATTGGGAAATGTAGAAATTAGGTAATGTAGGAATTGGGAAATTTATAATTTGGGAAATGTGGAAATTGAGAAATTTGGAAATCGTAAAATTTAAAAATTGGGAAATGTGGAAATTTGGAAATTGCAAAATTTAGGAATTAGAGATGTAGGAAATTGGGAATTTGGAAACAGTGATTAGCTGCTCTCCCCTCGTCACCATGATTTATCAGAACAAGTCGCCACTACGCTCGAATGTACATTTCTGTTCTTCCACTCATTCATTATTTTGGCACGTAACGATACTCGATGATGACACATAGTCTCATTAGCCGTCTAACTTAAAACTCGAAAGAAAACTTCCTATAAATGATCACACCACCATTCAATCATCCCATAAAATGAATGTATCGTTATCGAGAATCGTTCCGTTCTGCTTCACTAATTTTTGTTCCTCTCGTTCTTACGCTCGTCGACGACACCGAAGATTATTAAACGTCTTTAATTTGCTTGAACCGCGTTTACTCTGATCTCTTTTCTCTCTCTCTTTCACTTCTAACGCCATTTCACCATGACCTCGGCAACCGCGTTAAAGAGGCAATACTCGGTAAAATAATAAAAAAAAAAAGAAACGAAATACGTAACGATTAAAATATAAAAGAAGCGAGAAAAAGGTGAGCATGGCTTACAAAGTATATTTAAAACTCACAGACTTTCTTCCTCGTTTCGTACGTAATAGCAGAAGCGCTTTACTCACAAGTGCCTTTTCATTCTTTTCTCTCTGTCTCTCTATCTCTTTCACTTTTTTTCGCTGCTCTTTCTTTCTCTAATCATTCATTCATTGTCCGTTTTCTGCATTCATTTCGTTTATCTTCTGAACCCGTTAATCGCGCAAAGAGGCTCGTTAAAGCTCTCTGAATAGAAAAATGAAAAGAAAACACTTTTCGTTAGGAAATGATACGCAAACACATACGTACATTTATACAAGACATATGATCATTTTTAATGAATAATTCTTTTCAACACGCGATAAACACTTTTGCAGCTTGCCTTTTACCGCCATCGTCCGGCTGCCATGCTTCCAGGCTGTACATGTGTAGGATTGTTGTCCCGTCTCATGTTTTTCGTTTTTATTGCGGTTCGAGGATGAGCATCGATTGATATGTTTGATATTTTATTTAGTTTTGGATTTTGGAATTTAGGGATTTAGAAATGGGATTTAGGAATACGGGAATTTAGGAATACGGGGATTTGGGAATACGACGATTTAAGAATACGGGGATTTAAGAATACGGGGATTTAGGAATACGGGGATTTAGAAATATTTAGGAAATTTGGGAATTTGGGAATTTAGAAATGGGATTTAGGAAATTTAGGAATTGCGAATTCGGAGATTTAGGAAATTTGGGATTCTGGAGTTTGAGATTCGAGAATTTTGGGATTTGGGAATTTTTGGATTTGGGAATTTTGGGATTTGGGAATTTTGGGATTTGGGAATTTTGGGATTTGGGAATTTTGGGATTTGGGAATTTTGGGATTTGGGAATTTTGGGATTTGGGAATTTTGGGATTTGGGAATTTTGGGATTTGGGAATTTTGGGATTTGGGAATTTTGGGATTTGGGAATTTTGGGATTTGGGAATTTTGGGATTTGGGAATTTTGGGATTTGGGAATTTTGGGATTTGGGAATTTTGGGATTTGGGAATTTTGGGATTTGGGAATTTTGGGATTTGGGAATTTTGGGATTTGGGAATTTTGGGATTTGGGAATTTTGGGATTTGGGAATTTTGGGATTTGGGAATTTTGGGATTTGGGAATTTTGGGATTTGGGAATTTTGGGATTTGGGAATTTTGGGATTTGGGAATTTTGGGATTTGGGAATTTTGGGATTTGGGAATTTTGGGATTTGGGAATTTTGGGATTTGGGAATTTTGGGATTTGGGAATTTTGGGATTTGGGAATTTTGGGATTTGGGAATTTTGGGATTTGGGAATTTTGGGATTTGGGAATTTTGGGATTTGGGAATTTTGGGATTTGGGAATTTTGGGATTTGGGAATTTTGGGATTTGGGAATTTTGGGATTTGGGAATTTTGGGATTTGGGAATTTTGGGATTTGGGAATTTTGGGATTTGGGAATTTTGGGATTTGGGAATTTTGGGATTTGGGAATTTTGGGATTTGGGAATTTTGGGATTTGGGAATTTTGGGATTTGGGAATTTTGGGATTTGGGAATTTTGGGATTTGGGAATTTTGGGATTTGGGAATTTTGGGATTTGGGAATTTTGGGATTTGGGAATTTTGGGATTTGGGAATTTTGGGATTTGGGAATTTTGGGATTTGGGAATTTTGGGATTTGGGAATTTTGGGATTTGGGAATTTTGGGATTTGGGAATTTTGGGATTTGGGAATTTTGGGATTTGGGAATTTTGGGATTTGGGAATTTTGGGATTTCCAGAGAATTGGGAATCTCGGGAATTGGGAATCTAGGAGATTTGGGAATCTATGGAATTGGGAATCTAGCGAGTTGGGAATCTGGGCAATTGGGAATCTGGGGAATTGGGAATCTGGGGAATTGGAAATGTAGGGAATTGGGAATCTAGCGAGTTGGGAATCTAATAAATTGGAAAACTAGGGAATTGAGAATATAGGCAATTAAGAATCTAGAAAATTGGAAATCTAGGGAATTGGGATCTAAGGGATTGGGAATCTAGGGAATTGGGAATCTAGAGAATTGAGAATCTGGGGAATTAGGAGCCTAGGGAATTGGGTGTCTAGGGAATTGGGAATCTAGCGAATTGGAAATATAGGGAATTGGGAATTTTGGGATTTGGGAATTTGGAATTTTGGATTTCGGTAATTTGGGAATTTGGGGATTTAGGAACTTGGAAATTTGGGAATTCGAGAATTCGGGAATTCAGGAATTCTAGAATTTAGTAATTTGAGAATTTGGGAATTTATAGACTTGGGAATTCGGAAATATAGGAATTTGAGAATTTGGAAATTTGTAAGCTTTAAAATATTGAAATTTGAGAATTTAGGAATTCGGTGATTTGGGAATTTGGAAACTTGGGAATTTCGAAATTGAGGAATTTTGGAATTTGAGAATTCGGTAGTTTAGGACTTCAGAAATTTAAGAATTTAGAGACTTGAGAATTTGTAAATACAAGAATTTGCAAACTTTGGAATTTGTCAATATAAAAGTTCAAAAATTTAGAAATTTAACGATTTGAAAATTGAGAAACTCAATAGATTTGGAAGTATAATTATCCGGAAATTTAGGAACCTCGCAAATTAAAGAATTTAGGAAACTTGTAATTTTTAATCTGCAATTTGTAATTTGTAAATTTAGAAATTTGTAAATGTAATTTGTTTGTGAGAAAAAATTCGATCGATGCTCAATCGAATCGCTCCACCATCGAACGCGAATCAACCACCGATCAAGGTCTCCCAGAAATAAAAGAGACATTGATGGTCGCTGACCCGCGTCCGACACTTTAATCGTTAAGTTATTAATTAGTAATGTACGCTCTAATAATTGTCCATGTCTTATCTGTTGACTAATGATGTTGCTCTTGCATTATGTTCGCAGAACGCGTCAAAAGATAAGGTAAAGCTTTTTAAACGATCAACTCGTAGATCGGCATGCTTCTATAGGGAAGAGTGTGCGTGTGTTAGAAAGATAAATAGATCGCAGAGATGGTGTGAACGACCGAAGCAGAAACGATAGGATAGAAATAGAAAAAGCTTTTACTCCTTAACGATTATGGTCCGTTTTTAGATCACGTTATTTCTTCTTCTCTTTTTTTCAATATTTTGTTCTTTTATGAGTTTACGTATGTATCATTTTTGGCGCACAATTTTTGGTGTTCGTGAAAAAGTAGTTTAAAATTTTATTCGTAAAATTTTATTCGTAAGGATATTTTTAAATTCATAATAAAACATCTATTTTAAAATTATATTTGGTAAAAGAATTCTTGTTTTAAAATTATATTTAGGTGAAAGAGTAGTTATTTTAAAATTATATTTGGTAAAAGAGTAATTATTTTAAAATTGTATTTGATAAAAGAATATTTATTTTAAAATCATATTTGATAAAAGAATAATTATTTTAAAATTATATTTTGTAACAGAATTCTTATTTTAAAATAATGTTTGGCAAAAAAATAATTATTTAAAATTGTATTTGGTAAAGGAATTCTTGTTCTAAAATTATATTTGGTAAAAGAATAATTATTTTAAAATTGCATTTGGTAAAAGAATTTTTGTTCTAAAATCATATTTGATAAAAGAATTCTTATTTCAAAATTATATTTGGTAAAAGAATTCTTGTTTTAAAATTACATTTGGTAAAAACAATATTGATTTTCAAATTATATTTGATAAAAGAATTCTGCTTTTAAAATTATATTTGATGAAAGAATACTTATCATAAAATCATATTTGGTAAAAGAATACTTACTTTAAAAATTAAGTTCGTAAAAGAACATCAGTTCTAAAGTTACGTTCGTAAAGCAATATCTACTTCAACGTTCTTAATAAAATATTTCAAAATGTCGGTAATATTTAAAGAACCTTTATTTTTACTTTTTTCTTTCGAACTTCTCTCGCCCATTTTTTCACTAACAATCTGCACGGCTTCTTAGATGACTATAAAGAGATAGGATCTATATACACTCGCTGAAAATTCGATCAGGAAATATGAAAAGTAAACAGACTTGATTTTCGGTAAATTCAACGCACACGAAGCGCCATCTACGACGAAGATATACGTGATTTTCAATCCTTTCGCTGCTATATCCCTTTTTACAATCGTTAAATTATTTTTAACATTGCATATATTTGTATATTGCAATAATTTTAAGTTGCAAACAAATCGTTACGATTATCTTGTAATTATATGATTTTTTAATTAATTGTCAGAGTTATTTGAATTATTAGCTTGAAATAATTTGCAATTTGTAGTAAATGGTTTTTACAATGTTATCAAACAAAAAATTCAGTAAGACAGCAAGAAAAATCGAAAGAATTCAGTGAAAACCAATAACTGTAATAGTATAGTAGTAGTCACGTGATGGTGCAATTCAAACATGGCTGCCAAACACGCCATCTTGAATCGCTCATATTTCAAGACTAAAACTTTGTAATCAATGATTTTTACAATCTTATCAAAAACAAATCAGTAAGACAGCAAGAATAATACAAAAAATTCAGTATAATCGAATCATAACTGCATAAGTATAGTAGTAGTCACGCGATGGTGCAATTCAAACATGGCTGCTAAACGCGCCATCTTGAATCGCTCATATTTCAAAACTAAAGCTTTGTAATCAATGATTTTTACAATATTATCCAAAAGAAAATCATTGCGAAAATATCCGACAGCAAGAATAATAAAAAAATTTAGCAAGATCAAATAATTATTATACTAGTAGTACCAGTAGTCACGTGATGGTACAATTCAAACATGGCTGCCAAACGCGCCATCTTGAATCGCTAATTTCAAGACTAAAACTTTCTAATCAAATACTTTTGCAATGTTATCCAAAAAAAACATTGCAAAAATATTCGACAGCAAGAAAAATACAAAAATTAAGTAAAGTAAAATAATTATACTAGTATACTAATAGTCACGTGATGACGCAATTTAAACATGGCTACCAAACGCGCCAATTTGAATCACTCACACTTGAAAACTAAAACTTAAGATCATAAAATAGTGAAAAATCGATTTCTTTTGCAACAAATTCACAGCTTCCGCGACGTACATCAATTTTGAAAGAGATGATACAGCGAAAGGGTTGCTAACTCGACGCGTTGAATAATTTAGTTGGACCCTGGCCCTTCGGAGAAAATTTCCTCGCGAAATATCGCCTACGTGTTGGCCTGCTTTGCGAGACGTTCCCCTGACGCTAACCCAGACCTGGCGTGTGCAAATTTGATCGAACGACGGCCATGAATTGCCAGTATCTCACGTGTGTTTTCTGAACTTTGCAGAAGAAACCCGATTGGTCGAAGAAGGGCGAGGAAAAGAAGGTAAAGGAAGAAGAGGTGGAGGCATGAAGAGAAACACAGTTTCGACGCTTTCCGAGAATGGTCCATCCATCCTACCAATTGTCAACGCAACGACTCGAAACTTCCTTCATTTATTATTCTTTTGTTTCTTTTTTTTTGCTCTTCGTCGTCGATTAATTGACTTACAATATTTGCACGCAAAAATCACGTTGTCTCGTCCTCGATCCGTTTTATTGACAACGAGTAATGTCTTTCCAAGCTTTCAGATACACACACATACACATAATCTTGTGACTGACAATTCACGTTATGTATATACACGCATACACATATATATATTTTTTTAAAAGGAAACAAAAACACCCTCTGTACCGTTCTCTGTTCTCCGTTTCCGTCGATGTTTTATCTTCTTCTTTGTTTCTTTTTTTTACTTGTGAATCCCGTGTTACGTAATTATCTGTGAAGGGAGATACACGTAAACAAGAATAAACAGAAAAATCGTTACACATGATTTATTGTAAAGAAAAATATTTAACATTGAAGTACATTACACCTGTGTGTTCATTCTCTTGTTGTACCCATTGTGAATCCTTTGTGAATTTTTTTATCGTCTATGTTTGAAAGGCAACGGTTTTCAAAGATGAACAATGAAACTGTTATAAAGTGAATTTAACGTTCTCTCGCTGGAGTCGATTCAACCTTTAGAAGAGAAATTGAATGTTTTCGTATTGTTCGAGACATGAATGGCTCAATTATTGGATACGACTATATTTGTTTGAAAAGGTGAACGCGTTTATTGCCAGGGTGAAATGGACGTGATAAGACGTATTTGAGACTTTAGCTATAGAGGATAGCGATTATTTTAAAATTATATTTGGAGGATGTAGAAAGTACGATATTTTACTTCTCATATCAGAAATTTGGAGATTGAGAAACTTGAAAATTTAACAATTTAAAAATTTGAAAATTTGGAATCTTTTAGATCCTGAAATTTCCATATATCTGTGTCTTTACATCCCCTAGTCTCCAAACCCCTAATTTCCCAATTATTATTTTTTCAAATTTCAAAATTTCAAAATCTTTTTATCCCAAAATATCCAAGTTGTCCAACTCCTAAATTACCAATTCTTATATTTGCAAATCTCTATATCCTAAATCCTGAAGTCTAGAAAACTACCAATTCTCATATTCGTTAGTTTTCATGTACACAAATGCTCAAATTCCCAAACTCTTGAATTATCAATTCTCATATTTGCAAATCTTTGCATCCCCAAATTTCCAAGCTCCAAATTCCAATTTCCCAAATTCGTAAATTTCCAGATACCAAAATTTCCAAATTTCCAAATGTCGAAGTCCCAGCAAAACCCCAAATCCCAATTTCCCAAATTTCTCAATTTCCAAATTTTCAAACCCCCAGGTACCAAAATTTTCAAATTCCCAAATGTTGAAGTTCCAGCAAATTTCCAAATTTTCAAACCCCAACTCCCCAATCCCCAAATTCCCAAATTCCCAAATTCCCAAATTCCCAAATTCCCAAATTCCCAAATTCCCAAATTCCCAAATTCCCAAATTCCCAAATTCCCAAATTCCCAAATTCCCAAATTCCCAAATTCCCAAATTCCCAAATTCCCAAATTCCCAAATTCCCAAATTCCCAAATTCCCAAATTCCCAAATTCCCAAATTCCCAAATTCCCAAATTCCCAAATTCCCAAATTCCCAAATTCCCAAATTCCCAAATTCTCAAATTCCCAAATTTCCAAATTCCTAAATCCCGAATTCCTCAATTCCCTAATTCACAAATCTCCAAATACCAAAAATTTCCAAATTCCCAAATTACCTAATTCCTAAATTCCCGATTTCTTAAATTCCAAAATTCCTAAATCCTCAAATTCCCTAATCCCAAATTTTCAACCCCCAAATCCCAATTCCCCAATTCCCCAATTCCCCAATTCCCCAATTCCCCAATTCCTCAATTCCCCAATTTCCCAATTCCCCAATTCCCTAATTCCCAAATTCCCAAATTCCTAAATCCCGAATTCCTCAATTCCCTAATTCACAAATCCCCAAATACCAAAAATTTCCAAATTCCCAAATGTCCTACCAAATTCCCAAATTTTCAAATAATAAAATTTCAAAATCTACAAAGTAGTGTCGCTATTAGAAACCAAAAAAATCCTAGTTACGCCAATGCACCCTTGTCGCCAGCAACTCCCACGGCAATCAACGAGTTAATGACGTTTCAACCTTGAAGAGATGACAACCCTGTTGAATACTCAATGAAGCGTCTCCTGAGAACGACTACATGTCGGATAGTTGTCGATTCGCATTCAGTTTCTCGTACTTATTCATATCTTTTGCAAAAAGAGCAGTCAAATACTGTTGTTCCATTAAGAAAATTATCCGGGTTATTAAGGTTATCCGGGCATAGGGTGGAAGACATGTACGGTAGGTCCATCGTTAATCACATTTTGCTTAATTACGATTCGCTATAGAGTGATGCTTTCGCTATTTAGCTTGATTATATTCGTTCGCTATTTCTACTTTATTTTATTTACAGTTTGATGTGAATATTTGATATTGCAGATATAATTTGAAAATGTTCTAGCATTTTAATACTCGGGTTAACCCTTTACTTATAGTGTTAAAAGTTGCATTTGTCCGCCATTTTGTATACGAGGTTTAATAGCAACGATAATGGTATACAAGTAAATTAGGAAAATACGATAGCTTTCAAAGAGATGAAAGATATGAAAGACGAAAGATTTTAGTACAAGTTTCTGTTCCACAGTTGCCTCCCCTAACCTTCTACCGTAGATAATTTTCATACACTTTGTGCAAGATCTGTGATTAATTATATTATATATTTCGTTAATGTATTACGTACTCATTTACGTAAAGTTTTACAGTTAATAATCCTTGCATTAACAACGTCAGAAACTCTGAAAGTTAATTTAGTTAGAACTTCAAGTGCAAAGTGTTGATTATGTATATCCGTTGGTACAAATGAACATGACTGTAATTATGGGATCAATAACAACCAGACTGCAGATGTTCGTGCATGTATATCAAGGTCTGCAAACTTTACACAAATCATGAGATCTACACCCATAAATTACATGTATAAATTGCATTAGTTATGTTCACTTTGTAGTATTCGGTGTAAGGTTAAACATTTGTAGTATCTATGCATTTATGCTGGTATGTTGTATACTATTGTGACTAGCATGATTAGTATTACTGTACTAGTATGACTAGTATGATTAGTATTACTATACTAGTACGACTAGTATAATTAGTATTACCAAACTAGTATGATTAATATGACTAGTATAACTATACTAGTATGACTATACTAGTATGATTATACTAGTCTGACTCATATGACTAGTACGACTATACTAGTATGAGTGATATGACTAGTATTACTATACTAATGTGACTAGTACGACTACCATTACTATACTAGTATGGCTAGTATGATTAGTACGACTATATTAGTATGAGTGATATGAGTAGTGTTACTATACTAGTGTGACTAGTCTGACTAGTATTACTATACTAATATGACTATACTAATCCAACTAATATGAGTAGTACGACTATACTAGTATGAGTGATATGACTAGTATTACTATACTAGTGTGAGTAGTATGATTAGTATTACTATACTAGTATGGGTAATATGATTAGTACAACTATACTAGTCTGAGTGATATGACTAGTATGACTAGTATTACTATACTAGTATGACTAGAATGACTATACTAGTATGGCTAGTATGATTAGTATTACTGTACTAGTGTGACTAGTATGACTAGTATTACTATCCTGGTATGACTAGTATGAGTAGTATTACTGTACTAGTGTGACTAGTATGACTATTATTACTATCCTGGTATGACTAGTATGACTAGTACTACTGTACTAGTGTGACTAGTATAACTAGTATTACTATACTGGTATGACTAGTATGAGTACTGTTACTATACTAGTGTGAGTAGTATTACTAGTACTACCATACTAGTACTATTACACTAGTATTAGTAGTATGATTAGCATTACTATACTAGTATGACTAATATGACTAAAATTACTATACTAGTATAACTAGTATGTCGTATATCTAGTGACCAGTATATTTCAAAATACCACACATCCATTTTACGTCAAAACGCAAATACCCCACGTCCATAAATATAGAAAAACTCTATCAAGCAACCTAACAAAAGAATAATAACTCAAAATAAAACCTAACAAAAATATATGAACTTCGTGTTTGCTTGTTATTATTAACTTGCGTGAAGAGTTTCAATGGTTACTCCTGTACGTAGGATGAACCTGCACCACCACCTCCAGAACCAGCAGCAGCCCCAGCTCCAACCCCATCGCCACAACCGGAGCCAGCGCCAGCACCAGCACCAGAACCCGCACCACCAGCTCCAACACCATCGCCAGAACCAACGGCAGCAGCACCCCCTGCTGAAGGAGCTCCTCCAGCAGAGGGTGCACCTGCACCTCCAGCCGAGGGCGCCGCACCCCCAGCCGGTCAGTATAACCAGTTCAAACACCTTACGTCCATATTTATTGCATTTTACAGTGCATCGGTGATGACCTCAAAATATGATTCAAGGTTTCATACACTTGAAGGTTTGAAACGTCTTGAAATTCTTGTTAGATGAAACTTTAAAGAGGAACTTTTGATAGGAAAGATTTAGAGATACAACACAAAGTTTTATAACTGTTAAAAATCTTCGTTAGTATAATTAATTATTGATTTATTATATGATGTTAAACATATGTATGATCATATGTTCCTCATGGTAGATATACATATATGTAATCTCATTTTAAGACCCTAAGGAGGTACCTTTTTATTTCTAAAGAAGTGGAGCTTTTCAGTGTGGAAGAATTTTCACTGTGTGCAAACTGCAATAATAAAAATTTGCAGCCAATTTCAAAAATAAAGGTTGCAATTCTTCTAAGAGTATCAAATCAAGACACAGGTCAAAACAATTTTCTTAAATCTCACAAGAATTCCAAGAGTTTCAATATGACTTAAAAATTAATCAAAATATGAATCAAACCTTCTAGTCCTTCTCTAGAATGGTCATCGACATAATACAATTAATTATTAATCATCATATGTATACGTTTTTCATGATAACCGAGGGTGTCCTCCAACGAAGAAGAGATCTCCAGCAGAGAAGACAAGACACTCGTATCACAGTCCGTCCTTTCATGGTAGATAGTAGTAAAGTAAGCTGCATGTGATTGTTCAGAAGGTGCACCGGCGGCTGCACCTGCAGAAGGAGCGGCGCCACCAGCGGAAGGTGAAGCACCACCAGCTGCTCCTGCGGATGGAACAGCGCCGCCTCCAGCGGAAGGCGCGCC